ACTCCTGGGCTCAAGCGAGTCTCCTGCCTCCGCCTCCCAAGTAGCTGGGACCACAGGCGCCCGCCACAACGCCTGGCTATTTTTTGATTGCAGCCATCGTTGTTTGGTGGGCCCCAGCTGGATTTTACCTGCTACCTTAGGTGTATGTGGCTGGCACTCTAGCCACTTGAGCCACAGGCGCCGAGCCTAAGCCTCCTTTTCTTATGTTTCAGAGGTTTTCTGGATCTTTTTACTGTTTTTGTTCTTCCTTCTCAAACTTGAATTTTTTTTCTTTTAAGGATTTTGCAGGATCGGGGTCTTTCCAAATATCCTAATCTATTAAATCAGTTACTTGATTTACAACCAAGCCACAGTTCCCCCTACCTAATTGCCTTTCTTGTGGATATCTATGAAGACATGCTAGAAAACCAATGTGACAACAAGGAAGACATCCTTAACAAAGCACTAGAGGTAAGCTGGTGGGGCTCTGCCTTTCTTGTTGCTTTCTCAGAGGTCAGTCTACGCAGTCCTTATAGTCATGCTCCGTTTCAACATGTTTACTCAGAATTCGGGGCAGGGCCACTTCTGTTGAGGACAGCATTGACATCACTAGTGGATGTGTATAACTCCAGCTATGTATCTGATTTCAAGGCATTTGCCTTTGAGATTGAGGTAAACACTTGCTTTAATAAATTTCTTTCATTTTCAGTTATGTGAAGTCCTAGCTAAAGAAAAGGACACTATCAGGAGGGAGTATTGGAGATACGTGGGGAGATCCCTGCAGAGCAAGCACAGCACAGAGAGCGACCCGCCAGCAGACGCACAGCAATAAGTAGCACCATCCACAAGGACTGCTGGGATGCTTTTATTTTTTTAAGGGACTTCACTGCAGAGCTTAAAACTAGAGTGGTCATTCCTTTGCTCGTGGTGTAAATCTTGGCACTGCGCAGGTCCTGCTTCTTAACAAGAACTAAGTGGGGTGCTCCTTGGGTGCTGCTGCTATTCAGACTAGCTCTAAGTAATTTGATTCTTGTAAAAGCAAAGTAATTGGAGGAGAGGGGTAAGAACATTCCCATAACGGAACTTTTATAGTCCTGTCTTACCAACATTTACTCGGACTCTTAGCATCTACCCCTCCCTAAATGGTATGTTGTCAGGATTTGTAGCAATAATGATGACAGGTCAGTTGTGGGAGATGCAATTGTTACATCAGAACTGCTATGCCACACTCACAATATCTTGCTATCACTGTAACTAACTAATGCCAAAAGAATGGTTTTGTAATAAAATTACAGATGTATCTACAAACAATGCCACGATAGTTTGATTTTTTAAAATAACATTTAACTGTATACAAAGGACATTGTCTCAGCTTAGAAAAGCAGTTGAGGAAGAAAATGTTGCTATAAAACTGTAGAAACCAGAAACAGGATTATGTTAGAGAAAATGTACATGTGAAATGTGAATCAGTCAGTTCCTGCAACAAAGTCCACTCTCAGGGTAGTTTAAACCCTGGGGTTAGGTAGGTAGGTAGGTAGACAGCTCACACAGCAACTGTCTGATCTTTTGGGAGTACAGCCAAAATCATACTGCAGGAACTGGGCCATCATGTTGCTGCCAGAATGAGGAAACTGCAGAGTGAGGACTGAAAAGCCACAGTAGTGGCTGCCAGCTCCAGGCTGCGCCCTCTGCCACGCTCTGTGCAAACCTGCCTGCTGCCCTTCCATGTCCCGTGCTTCCCGATTAATGGGAGTTAGTGCACCTGTTTAGAAAGAACCTGTATGACGTGTCTGGGAAATGTAGTTTATAGCTTTCCAGCCTCTCCCACTCAGGAAGACCTGCCAGAGAGGGTTTGGGAGTGGTGAGCAAGCTGGTTTATTATACTTGCACTTAATTAAATCACCCTTTATCAACAATTTTTGATCACCATTCAAAGCACTGAACTACAACTAAAGAATACTGAGTAGCCTTCTTTTCTCAAGATAAATGTAGGAAATATTATTTTACTTCTTTCTTGAGAAAATGTATTTGGGGAATATTATTTTTAACATTTTGCATACTGGTTTGTTACTTTTAGATCCCCCAAATCTCATTTTATATTTGAAATCGCATAGAGTGTCATCTGTATGTAGACAATTTCAAAGGTCTCCTAAGAAACAAAACCAAATAGAGAAGTTCTCATAGGGTAGTATTTATTCTCAGAAACTGTATCATCAGTGTCCCAGAATTGGCGGGATCAGGGCTGCTGACTCAACAAAGCTTATAAGACATTATTTAATAGAAAGCATAATGGCAGTTTATTAATTTATACTCAGAAGTGTCACTATGAAGTAGACCAAACAGTGGCATCAGCCTAAGCACTTGACAGTTTAACTGCGTGGCAATTCATTAGCCAAAGGTTGTTTAATGAGCCTTGAATCGGGCGTGGAGGCTCCAAATTTAAGTGTAGAATGATTTTAGGCTCAGCTCATGCTGAGGGCATCTCCCAGTGGCAACTGTGGATACACAGACCTGGCAGCACACTCCATTCGTGGGACCAGCAGTTCTCAAAAGTGTGGTCTGTGCAGGGGTTTGCCAGTTCACAACTATTTGCCTCTCACTATCACTGTGGTGCTCTTGGCCCTGTTGGTGCAAAACCAGTGGTGGGGAAAACAGCAGTGGCAGTCACTGTATTCCCTGCTGTGCATTTACTGAAGGATGTCCTTGAGGAATCAGTCATCATATATTTTACTGACAATACCCAACTTGTCTTTTCTGTATTTTAATGTGACCAAATGAAGTATGCGCAAAGCTTATTTTTATGGCTGTCCTGAGAAAAGGTACTTGTGGAATCATGTAAGCTGTGGGTCATAGGGGCTGCATTTTTATGGAACACCATTTCCTTGCACAAACAACTGATAAACTGGTGATTCATACCTGGCTGGCATATAGCCTTCAAAAAATGAATGAAATATGCTTGTAACATCACAGAAAACAATTTAGTGCTGTCAGTGATAAAATATGAGCTTTCAAGTAAAATTATGCCACAGTGAGACGGATTGACAGCTTCCCAGTACCTACAAATCTTTCTAATGAAATCAGTGTCGATACTAACAAATGCCATTTTTGCATATTGGATAATAAAATTGTCAACAGTTGGTATGTATGAAAAGCTTAGTAAACTAGTATTTCCCCAGGACTCATCCACAATGTTAAGGTCCCATGCATGGATAAATCCATTCAAAGTACAAGGTGTAACATGAGTATAAAAAGCTTATTGATAGGATTGCAGATTCCACATTACAGCTATGAGAAACTACTAGTCAACTTTTGGTGTGGTATCAAAGAAGAATATCCCCGTTTTTTTGAAAAGGCTGTTAAAATGCTTTTTCTAGCTATAGTTGTGTGAGTCCAGATTTTCTTTATAGACCTTAATCAAAATGTCATTGCAACTGATGAAATGTAGAAGTAAATACAAGAATGCAGACGTCTTCTAGTAATTCACACTAAAGAGATTTGCGAAAATGGAACTGTCATCTATTTTTTTGAAAATGTAATTTTCATAAGATTTTTGTTAATATGTAATGAGTTTATTGTTTTATTAATGAATAAAAAAAATTAAATTGTAATATGGTAGTATCAATTAATACCACTTGCATAAAAGTTGGAGTTAGGAAAAAACCATCATCACCTCTATCTTCAGTACCTTGGAAAATGCTATCTGGGTTACTTGAAGATACGTTCCGTGGGAACACAGAAGAGGGGCTATTTGATGGAATCTGGGAGGGTTCATAAAGGAAGACCAGTTCAGAATTTGACCAGTTACATTCTTTTATGAGGCCTTCAACTCAAATTTTAACTTTCAAATTATTAAGGGAATCCAGCATATTTGCCCCTGGAAGTTAAGTACAAAAGTGAATGTTCCAAACTGAACTGTGACCCATCAGTGGGTTTCAGCCAGACTCTTTAATATGAAGTCTAACAGAAAAATTTTAATTTCATTCAACTTTGCTATCATCATTTCTTCTACTTGGTTTGGTTTACTTTGTTCTCTAACTTTTTAAGGTAGAAGCTTAGATGATTGACTTGACATTTTTTCCTTTTATTTACAAGCTTTTATTTTGGGTTAATGTGAGGGTACATGAGATTACGCTTTATTCTTTGCTAATGCAAGCATTTTAGTGCTATAAATTTCCCTCCAAGACCTGCTTTAGTTGCTTAAAAATATTAGTATTTTGTATTTCTGTTTTCATTCAAAGTATTCCCCTTCTTGGATCATTTAGATGTGTATTGTTTAATTTCCAAGTGTTTGGAGATTTTCCTACTACCTTCCGTTTATTTATTTCTGGTTTGGTTTGTTTTGAACAGTTATTCCAATGATTACAAAATACATATTCAATTTTCCACAGCCTATTTAGAATTAATATTTTGTCGCTTCAGTTAGCATTTAGAAAGCTTGCCACCATATACATCTTACCCTTCCTACCCTTCCCCATTTCTCTTCCTTTCTGAGACAAGGTCTCTGTTGCCCTGGCTAGAATGTAGGGGTGTCGTCATATTAATAGTTCACTACAACCTCAAACCCCTGGGCTCAAGCAGTTCTGCCTGAGCCTCCTGAGTAGTAGCTGGGAGTACAGGCATGAGCCAGCATGCCTGAGGAATTTTCCTTTTTTTTGCAGAGATGAGGTCTTGTTCTTGTCCAGACTAATCTCAAACTGCTGACCTTAAGCACCTATCCTGCCTTGGCCTCCCAGAGCACTTGGATTACAGGCGTGAATCACTGCAGTCGACCCCTTCACCATTTCTTACAGTGAAAACCCCATCAGACAATTTTACATACCGTCGTTTTTGTATTTAATCACTAGCATATTTTAAAGAACTCAAGGATAGTGTTTTGTACCATTTTTGGTTTTTTTTTGAGACGAGTTTCAAGCAGTCCCTCCAGCCTCAGCCTCCCAAATGTTGGGATTACAGACGGGACGGTGTGCTCGGCCTCCACAACTGCTTTATCTGCTCAACCTGAAATTGTACCCACTCAGAGCATCACTTTTAATAGCTTTAGTTTTATGGTTTTCTGCTATCAATATCCCTTATCAACAACGCTTCAGCGAGGTTTCTTGTGCATATATCTCGCAGATGTATTCATTCCTTCCGAAGGATAAGTTCCTAGAAATGTGATTTGCTAGAGTCCACGGGGGCACACCAGGTCACTCCAATTTTCACTTACGTATGAGGGAAACTGTTAGATGCTGGATATCAACGGCAGGTCTCGTACGACCTTTCTTTTTTGCTGTATGTCTGATAGGCAAAAGTTGCAAAAATTAATATTTTAAAATTGTCTGGATTACAAGCAGAGACACGGTTTTTTCTTTAAGCCCACGTGGTGTTCTCTTGATTTCGGGGAGACGACGCTTCTGCTGTAAAGGAAACGCTCCGACCCTGCGTCCGCCTGCCAGCGCCGCAGCCTTCCCCTTCTCCCGCGTCTCCACCTGCACCAAGGCGGGCCTGAGACCCGAGGCGTCCCTGCCGCCCCACCCCCGCGGGCTTCCTTCTCTTTTTCCAAGGCTGCTGGCCCCGGACTGCGCGTGCCAAGCACAGCTTTACCGCCCTCCGGGCCGAGCCCCGCGGCGTCCAGCGCCCCAGCCGCGCTCACGCTCCAGCGGCCGGGGCCCAGGGCGGAGACGCCGCAGTTCCAACAACCTCCCTGGAGATGCTGCTCCCGCCGCCGGCCCGAGGGCTGCACTCTGAAGCCACCGTTGTGCTGCTCATCTAGACCTCACGGTTCCCGGTTTCCACTAAGTGGGAAACACTCGCCAGCCGCCCCGAGGCAGCGCTGCAGCCCGGGATCTGCGTGACGTCATCCTGCGCGTGCGCGGCGGGAGGTGGGCGGGGCGGGGCGGGGCGTGGGGCGGCCTCGCGCTCACTGGCCGGGCACAGTTTCCAGCCGCGCAGGCGCAGAAGGTGCCGAAGGTAGGATGCGTGTGGGCCGTGGGATGCGGGTCGGCAGGTGGGTGCACCGGCCCGGCTGGCGAGGCTGCGGGCGCGGAGGGCAGCCGGGTTTCTCGCGGGGCCTGCGCCCGGCTCGGTGGTGGCCGCCGCTCCCAGGGCACCCCGGGGCCCCAGTTCTGCTGTTTCTCCTCCCGGGAGGCCGCGCTGGCTCTGGGCAGCGAGCGCCTGGCCCTGCGCCGGCGCCCACCGTGTAAATAACCCGGCGACTCCAGCTGTGACAGGCCCTGACTCTTTGTTCTTGGGCGTTGGTTCTGTGCGCGGTCATTGTTGCTCTAAGTGTAGACAGACGCTGCTCTTTTTAAAAAGAAAAGCTGTTGTATTTAGTAATCTTGTCTTCGACATCCTTTGCCTTTATCTAAGGCTAAGTAAATCCTCAGCATATTTAAAATAACCATCTTGATGTGCCATATACTTTAGCAACAAAATGGAATTGTAATCTAATTTGTGTTGGATGACACTAATGTGTTTCTTCCGTAGTTGCATGAAATTTGGTTCCATTGTTTTTATTTTCTTTTTACTTTAAACAGTAAAGCACCAATTTTTTCTATTATTGAGCCTTTCCTATCAATGTCAGAAATCCTGTTTTTAAACAGTGCCTGAATTTCTGCTACCCAATGGCCCCACAATCCTTATGTGTCAACTTGATGGCTAATTTTCAAGACCAGTAAATTTTAGTGGTTTTTGCTTATTTCTGAGCAAGAAAGTTCCTTCAGCCACACAGACTTACCCTAAACTCTGGGCAGCCTACTCCAGAAATAGGCCTCTAAATGAAAAAAAAGAACTGATCAGGTATTGAGGTGGGTTAAGCCTTCTGTGAGAGAGGAGCAGTCTCAGCGTCCCTACCGCTGTCCTGACCACTGTCCTGGATGACCACACTGGGCTCAGTGCAGTCTAACACCTGAACATTACTGAATTTAGATTATGAGTCTGAGTTTGAGGCCCAAAAACTTGGCTCTCCTGTGTGTAGTTTAGTGACCTTGGATGTATCACTTAACCTCTGATTCAGTTCTCTTATCTGCAAAATGGGAATATCAATAATTATTTCTGCCTCACAGAACTGGTGTGAAGTTGACACGATCAAAGTCAGTTGAATTTTGGGTGTGTTTTTCCTTTAAAGGATTCAGAAATGTAGGTGAGGACTTAGGGATAAGTAAAAGGTTCTTGAGGCACATAAAATGCGGATTCAACAAGAAACACATTAAAGGATTGTTGGGTAATGATGAAGGCCCAACACAGATTCAAAAATATGAATTTCTGAAGTTCTACAGAGTTTTGTACCTGATGTTGGCAGGCTTTGAATGGAAATGGAGAGGTAGACGGGGCAGGTTGCGTGGAGCTGGGGAAAGACAAGCAGATGTGCATTTTTGATGACTCTTGGACAGTCTTCACTTGGACAAATACCTTCCAAAACCCTGGCGAGGGGCCTAGCAACTTTTACCTACATAATTGTATGTTTTCTTAAAGAATTATTCTTCCACCAAGTTGCATAAGCTTCATACCCCTTAAAACCTGAATTCACCCAAGTGGCAAGGTGGGCATAAGAACAGTTTGGGGGTACAAGGTTAACTGTGTGGGTTGGGCTGGGGGACTGAGATGGGAGAAGGAGGCGGTGGATGAGCAGCTCTCAGAGGAGGGTAGCGCACAGAGGGATAGTGACTCAGTGGGAGAGAAAACACAGGAGACAGAAAGCATGTGGGGCTGAGGGCACACGGAGGGGAAAGTTTGAGTGAGTGGGCAGCTCGAGCATCTTCACGGAGCATCTCTGCACATAGGCTCTGATACAGTGGTGAAGAGGACAGGCAGGCAGTCCTTTGGGTGCTCACAGTCTCATGGCTCATTCTAGGCTTCACCTAGAGGAAGAAGGAACCCACGTGAAGGGGTGTGGGCACCCCCAAAAGGATGCCTTCAGGACCGAGGAAGACTAGATGTCAGGGGACTTCATAAGAGTTTGGATGTTTTCCTGTGGCAGTGTTCGAATGTTTTTAAGCAAGGGAAGACCGAATCTGTGCTTTAAAAGATCACCCTGTATATATCAGACAGAAGCTCTTCTACCTATGCATAAGGAGATGGGTGCAAAACTTATTTCACTTATCGTGCAGTAGTCAAACAATTAAAAATAGTGAACTAGAGTTTCACGTATCTACACAGATAAATCTCAAAAACAGTGTTGCAGTTTTAACAAAAGCTAGTTGCAAAAGGACAATACCAATATAAAGCTTGAAAATACATTATTCATTATTATGGGCACATACTTGTGAAAATGAACAGCATGTATGGGAAGTCAGGTTCAGTGGCTCAGGCCTGTGGTCCCAGCATGTTGGGAGACTGAAGTGGGAGCGTTGCTTGCACCCAGAAGTTTGATTCCAGCCTGGGCAACATAGCAAGGTCCTGTCTCTTAAAAAATTAAAATTAAAAAGCATGTATGAGAGTTAAATATACCAGTAGTTCTCAAACGGTAGCATGGATCCAGATCACCTGGAGCACTTACTAAAACCCGGATTTTATTTCTGATCCAGTAAGTAGGTCTATGGTGAAGACTCAAGAATTTGCATTTCTCCCAAGTTCCCAGATGATGCTGATGTTACAAGCCCAGGGACCGCAGTTTCAGAACCTCTGATGTGAACCAGCTTGAGGACAGGAATTGGGAGGGAGCAGAATTGCACTGGGAGGGGCTTCAGCTTAAGGTGTATATGTCACGTCATATTTCTTTAAAAAAGATCTGAAGCAAATACAATGCAGTGTAACTTGACAAAGCTAGATAGGTGTTCATGATCCTATTTTTTATTTTTGTCTGTGCTTGAAACATTTCACTGAAGAAAAAAGGTCTTGTTTGCTGGTGGAGAATGGATTGGAAAAGAGGAAGAAGTGGGAGATCATGCAGGAAACTGTTGCAGAAGCCCAGGTGAGGGGTGCTGCTGGCTCGTGCCAGGGTGGAGGCAGCAGGGAAGGAGAGAGGTGGGCCGCTGTGGGAAGTGTGGGTGGCAGAGTTGACTGTGTGGGGATTGGTTGGTTTGGTGGTTAGTGGAGGGGACATAAGTCACCTGGTTTATGACTTGAGTGGGCTAGTGGGTCATGTGTCCATCACAGGGAGAACCCTAGAGGAGGCATGGGTATGTGGGGATAGGAGAGAGATCACGAGTTCAGCTGTGGGCAGCCCAGACCTTGGAGAGCCAGCTGGGTGAAGCGTAGGAGAAAGATCTGGGCTGCAGTGCAGACTTGGAAACCACGAGTGTTTAGATGGCCACCAAAGCCATGTTTGTGGAGATCACATTGGCCTTTGACAGACCTGCAGGGCTATTATCACCACAGCAGGGCTTGCCAGCTACAGCCCACTGCCTGCCTTGGTATAGCCTGAGAGCTAAGGATGCTTCTGTCTTTTTAAATGTTGTGAGCATGTGTGAATTCAAATAATACTTCGTGATAAGTGAAAACTGTGAAATTCAGATTCCAATGTCCATAAGTAAATGTGCTCACTCGTTGCCGTGCTGTCCAGCACTGCTTTCATCCACGCCAACGGTTGGGTAACCGACAGGTGGGAGGTGGCCTGTCCTTGCTTGGCATCATGAATCACAGTTACTTGGTTGTCACTCGATTTTGACTTTTGATCCCTAAGTCTAAATATTTACTGTTTGCCCTTAATAGAGAAAACATTTGCTGATCCCTGCCCTGAAGTCTAAGTTGAGACACATGGTTTCTTTAGACGTGGTGGGGGAAGGATGGTGGTCATCATCTCATCCATTTCTTTAAGAGTGCCTGGTAAGAATCAGGATCGGGTGGAAAAACCCCAAGACTGAGGCCTGAGTGGGGAGAGTTGTCCAGTTTTAGTTTAAGTTCCTGAAGATGACAGGAGGAACGGGCCAGAGAGAATGATGTGGCCTGGAAGCTTTAAGAAAAGGGTGAACAAGAGTGTCCTGACCCTGAAGGTCATGGCTGGAGACCCCAACAGGGTGGGTGAGCCAATGGGATCACTTGGGAAAGTGCCACCTCCTAATGGCGCTGAGGACACCATGCAACATTTTCTCTTATCAAGTAAGAAAAACTACCCTGAATTGTGGAAGAGTCTATCATTTCTAAAATTTCCTGGTGGGAGGAGGTGGTGTCTCCGTGCTGGCACTGGTCCTTGCCCCCAGCCTCACTGGCCAGGGCAATAGGGAGTACAGGGGAAGAGGCTAGAAGTCAAGTTTAGGAAGTATTTTTATCTTTTAAATTGAGATATAATTCACATACCATAGAGTTTGCCATTTTAAAGTGTACTGTTCAGGGATTTTTGTATATTCACCAGTTTGTGTAACCATCACTGTCTAATTCCAGAACGTTTTCATCCAAAAGGAAATCCCAGACCTGTCAGTATCCTTTCCTTTCTCCTTTTGCCCATTTTTAAGTTAGTTATTAGTTTTTTTATTGTTGAGGGAAAAACACTATTTTTGAGTTGTCCGTCAACGTACATCCAAGTGGGGATGTCAAAGACGCAAGCCTCAAGTTCTGGGGAGGCTGGGGTTGCAGCTGCCCCTGTGGGAGCTGTCAGCAGGTGGAGACAGAATCATGAGCCTGTGTGAGCTTGCCCAGGATGAGAGTAAAGGGGCCTGAAGTCTGAGCCCTGGGGACCCCAGAGTTGGGGAGATGAAGGGAGCTGTAGTTTCCTGGAAGCAAGCCAAGAAGGCATTTTGAGCGGAGGAGTTATCAGTCCCTCTGCCGCTGTTGATAGGTCCGGTGAGCCTGGGACTGTGCTGGCTGCTGTGTTTAGCTACATGCTTGATAGGATCAGTGTGCATGGTGTGGCCTGGAGTTGGAGAGAGGGAGAGGATGGAGTTGGAGATAGTACAGATAAGCTTTTATGGAGTTTGCTGAATAGGGAGGAGGGAGAACAGTGGGCAAGAGCCACAGGTGGGAAGACACAGTGTGCTGGGGTTCCGGAGAGGACAGCACTATGGAGCCTTGTCCTGGGGCAGGGGTTGGGGTCTTGTGCTCAGGCCTGAGCGGGTTGCATAGCTAGTGCCAGGGTAATAGGAGAGAGAGTACATGGGACCTGACGTGGGGGATTGGGAGCCAGTGGAAACACTCTCTTAATTGCTGCCATTTTCTGCAGTAAAATAGGAAACAATCATCTGGCGAGAGTGAAGGTGGGGGAAGAGGTGATGTAAGTTTGAAGAAGAGAGAGGGTGACCTGATCACCAGCATAAGGCCACACAGAGCAAACCTGTCAGGTTTACTAACTCATCGCCTTGCGTGAGACTGCACACCAGTGGGACTCGAATGTCTCAAGCAAAGGGAAAGGAACAGTTATCATTGAATTTGGGGGAGGGGTGGATCTAGGCAAAATATAAATGAAATCATGTTTTGATGGGCTCAAAGCCAGGCAGTATGTGTATAATGGGGGCCTAATCTGGTCTGGACTGCAAGGTGGACGCCGGAGCCTGGTTTTCTAGGAGATGATAATAGTAACAGATGTGCAGTTATCACCTCCCGACTCCTTGTCTGCAGCTCCGCCCTGTTTTGGAAATCAGTAGCTTCTCTGTGTCAGTGGCTTTGATCCGCCAGGCAAGAGTGGGGTGTTTATTCTTACTGATAAGACTTCAAGAGGCAACTTTCTGGTCTCTGACTTCAGGGAACGTTTCTCAGTAGTGAGAAAGTGGTGGCTGTTCAAAGAAGGGGATCATTTGACACTTTGTAGCTGCGGTGTGTCCTTGGGAGCGAGGCCACTTCCTGTCCCAGCTCCATGGATGGAGGGTAGATTTTCCTTCTCAGAGGAAAGGGGTGAATGAGCTGCCTGTGTGCCCATGGCTGCTCCTCTCAGGCCTCAGTCTCATCCTCTGAGAGGTCTTCTGGGATGTTTCTTCCAGCAGATTTCCTGGTTATCTTCTGCCCTTGAACCTTTCAGCGCAGGATGATAAACTTTTTTGTTTACTTGTTTATTGTCTTCCCCACTGGATTTTCCTCTAAGCTCTAGGAGGATAGGAACCACGTCTGTTTATTTCATTCAATTATCTCCAGCGTCTGGTGTGGGGCTGGTACGTACTAAGTGACTGAGTGGCTGACAGACAGTGATGGAGGGAGCAGGGAGAGGAGGCCACAGGGGGCTCTGATGGGGCTCTGGCGACAGCAGCCAGTCACTGGAGGGCTTCCCTGAGGCGGCAGCACCCCCAAGGGCTGGGGAGCTAAAGGGACACCACGGGAAAGGCTGACCGGGTGGACTGTAGCAACTTGCCTGTGTACAGAGCTGCAGTTCTTTTATAACACAGTTCCTGTGTGTACTCTGAGGTAGAGGGTTCTGTACCAGTCCTTGGGGGCCAACCAGAACACTGACTGACCCTGCAGTCTGTATAGAAGCCTGAGCTGGGAGAAGGAAGCTGCTTTTGGAAGATAAACCTTCATGTCATAGTTATATCTGGTATGGGAGGAAACACAGGGTCACTTCTGCCACTGGTGTCCCTGGGCATTCCAGTACTGGAGTTCAGCTGGCACACATTGGCACAGCCACAGCCCCTGCTGAGTATTGGTAGGCTTCCATCCTGGTTCATATGTGGGCTCTGCCCCAGGCACCTGCTGTCCAGCATTCTTTCCCAGGCTTATCCCCATCCAGCCCCCTCACCACGGCCTCACATGCTCCAGTGCTAAAGTCTGCACCTCATCAGTGTCCTCTTGGGGTCATTGGCTCTCTTATCTCACTGCTGTTACTCTAGCTCATGCATCTTTGCTCTTATTCATGGTAATTTCTATGGCCTCCTAACTTCCCAGCCTCAGTCTCTTCCACCAGAATCCACCTGTCACAATTTTTTTTTTTTTTTGAGACAAAGTCTCACTCTCTTGCCTAGGCTAGAGTATGTGGTATTAGCCTAGCTCACAACAACTTTAAACTCTTGATCTCAAATGATGCTCCTGCCTCAGGCTCCTGCTAGACGGGACCTCAGGCACCCGCCACAGCACAGGGTTAAACACCTATTAAAAAGTAGCCTTTGGGCTCAGCAGCACCTGCAGCTCAAGTGGCTGAGGCACCAGCCACATATACCAGAGCTGGAGGGTTCGAATCTGGCCTGGGCCTGCCCAACAATAATGACAACTACAACAAAACACTAGCTGGGCATTGTGGTGGGCGTCTGTAGTCCCAGCTACTTGGGAGGCTGAGGCAAGAGAATCACTTAAGCCCAAGAGTTGGAGGTGGCTGTGACCTGTGAAGCCACAGTACTCTACCCAGGGCGACAGCTTGAGGCTCTGTCTCAAAAAAAAAAAAAAAAGTAGGCTTTGCTTTTTAGAAACTCAGGGGCTTTTGAGTGCCCTCCAAGGAACATGCCAGCTTCTTAGTGGGTGAAGAGGCCCCCAGCCCCACTCTGACCTGTTGGCCCCTCCTGCTTTCCTTTGTCACCCGCTGCCCTGGCCCCTCTGGAGTGACACTTTTTGCTTTCCTTTTCCTGACTATTCACACGTGTCCACTTAGTGCAAACTACTGTGCGTGACACAAAGCCCTTCCTGATCTAATCTAGATGGACCACATCCCAGTTTGTAGTAAGATGTAATGATGATGGAAATAGCGATCGCTGGGCATTTAGTGTGAGCCTAATCATATCAATACCTGTTTTAACCCTTACGGTAAGGCCATAGCTTATAGGACCTTTGAGTAGAAGATGCATTAGGTCCGCTTCATGGAAGTGAAAACTGACCATGTCTTTCCTCCTTGTTGCATTTCTACTTTAGGAAACCACAGAGGGTAGAACCATGGAGAAGCAGCCCCGGGACAGCAGGAAAGGCCCGGTGCCCAGGGAGGTGCCCCCAGCAGTCAGGCTGCTGCTGGCCATGGCCCTCATGAATGCGCTGCTCTACCTCTGCCTGGGCCGGGTCTTCATCTCCCCCCAGCATTACTCGGGGAACCCGGGGCACTGTCCCTACGGCCACTTCAAGATAGGACAGATGAAAAACTGCTCGCCGTGGCTGTCCTGCGAGCAGCTGAGAACAGAAGTGAGGCAGCTGAAGTGTGCTGGGGAAGGAGCTGTGAAAAGGGTGAGTTGGGGCCCGTCTAATATCTCAGGGAGGCGGGTGTTGCACCTCCTATCAGGAGCCCTGGTGTCTGTGCCTCTCCACCATGGGCTCAGTGATCTCATGTCTGGGCCTTTATCTTAATAAAATGATCTTAGCCATTAGTGTCCCTGGGCATTCCAGTACTGGAGTAGTACAGCCATTAGTCCCACCTACGCAGGAGGCTGAGGCAGGAGCATCACTTGAGCCCAAGAGTTTAAGGTTGTTGTGCACTAGGCTAACACCAAGTACTCTAGCTTGGGCAAGAGAGTGAGACCTTGTCTCAAAAAAAAAAAAAAAAAAAAATTGTGACAGGTGGATTCCGGTGGAAGAGACTGAGGCTGCTGAGGCTGGGAAATTAGGAGGCCCTGGAAATTACCATGAATAAGAGCTAAGGAAGGGGAAAAGCTCCATGTGTAAAGGAGTATTATAGTGCTAGAAAACTAGAAACAGTAATTTTAGGGGAATAGTTGATTTAAGATCCAGCTGCTTGATGGAATATTCTGGAGCCACTAGGTATAGTTAAGACCCCCCGTGTTGTAACCTGAAGAAAATCTTATGATGATAAGTGGAAAAAGGAAGATACATATAATAAAAAAGCAAGAATCATATAATACGCTATTTTCAACTGTAAAATTACATGTTTGTAATTTTACAAATGATAGGAATTGTGCTAGGTTAAAGGGGATTATGGAAAATTCTTGCTTTTTGAACTATAATGGTATTATATTGATATTTAAAATTTTTATGCTTGACTAACACATAATTGTGCATATTTATAGGGTACATAGGATGTTTTGGTACATACAGTGTTTAGTGTTCCGATGGGGCACTTAGCCTGTCCATCTTCTTGGACATGGATGTTTATTTCTTTGTGCTGGAACATTCAGAATCCTCCTTCTGGCTATTGGTACTATATGGTTAACTACAGTCATCCTACTGTGCTGTTAAAACCCCACATCTTGTTCCTCCCATCTAGCTGTAATTTTGTACACTTTAACAAATCTCTCCCTGCCCCTTCCCCCCTCCCCAGCCTAAGCTACCCTATATTCTACTTTTTACTTCTGTGAGATCACCTTTTTTTTTAGCTTATGCGTCTAAGTGAGAAGGCACAGTGTTTAACTTTCTGTTCTTATTTCACCTCACATGTCCTATAGTTCCATCCCTGCTGCTGTGAAAAACAGGTGTCATTTTTTTTTTTTTTTTTTTGAGACAGAGTCTCACTTTGTCACCCTTGGTAGTGTGCTGTGGCTTCATAGCTCACAGCGACCTCTAACTCTTGGGTTCAAGCGATTCTTTTGCCTCAGCCTTCCTCATAGCTGGGACTACAGGTGCCTGCTATTTTTGTTGTTGTTGTTGCTGCTTACCAGGCCCCGGCCGGGTTCAAACCCACCAGCCCTGGAGCACATAGGCAGTTCCCTAACCACCGAGCTACATGCACCCAGCCATGTCATTCTTTTTTATGGCTGAATAGTATATTCAATTGTGTATGTACCACATTTTCTTTATCCACTCATCTGTTCGCAAACTTGAAAGCTCAGGAGATCTACCTGCCTTGGCCTCCCAGAGTGCTGGGATTACAGGTGTGAGCCACTGTGCTGGCCTGTGAGTCTTTTCTCGGTAATAGGAAATGTAAATCCAAGGTGGTGATGCACAGTTGTCCTGTTAGCTGCTGACTGCAGGGAAAGGTCTAGTGTTTGTGCAGCATCTCAGCTCCTGCTTTTATAGTGAAGTAGCACAAAACTACAGATGCACAAAAGTGTTTTTCTTATGTAGAAATATTGCTATTTGTGACTTACTATGCAGCCTTTTAAAATTGAGTAATATTGTCACGTGTGATTGGCACGGCTGGACTCCATCCAAGAGACTTTTCAGGGTCTCCATTCACCCACTTTTCCAATCCTCTGCCCTGCTGCCTTCTCCCCAACCACCGTGCAACAGCGAGCTGGAACTTGCCTCTCCGAGCCTGCATATACAGGGTCTCCCCTCCTGAGCACACCCTCCCTGCTCCACATCGACCCTGCATGTCCCATCCCAGAGCCTTCCAGCATCCTGAACAGAGTTAGTCCCTTCTGCCATTTCCCACCCTGGCATCTTAGGCACTGAAGAGGTGCCTGCGTTGCTGAGTGCTGTGTCTGCTCTTTGCTCTGTTTGCTTTCATCTGTCTTCATAACTGGACTCAGAGCAGCTGTAGCACTGGGTCTGTGTCTCATGAACTTATGTATCTTCTGTGTAACATCTGCCACTGCAAAGATAATTATTGTTGCTCTGCTAAGTAACTTTAGGGGAAGGTCTAGGACTGATGTTCTCTGTGGCTTGGTTCCAGGTCTTTCTTTCTGAGTGGAAGGAACAAAAAGTTGCTCTCTCTCGTCTCACCAGTCTAGAGATGAAAGAGGATTTCCTCCATGGACTGCAGATGCTGAAATCCCTGCAGAGCAAACATGTTGTCACGCTGCTTGGCTATTGTGAGGATGACAACACCATTCTTACAGAGTATCACCCCTTAGGCTCCTTGAGCAACCTGGAAGTAACACTGAATCTCTCCAAGTACCAGCACATGAACACATGGCAGCACAGGCTGCAGCTGGCCACAGACTACGTCAGGGTCATCAGCTACCTGCACCGCAGCCCCCTGGGCACGCTGGTCATGTGCGACTCCAATGACCTACCCAAGACGCTCTCCCAGTATCTGCTGACCAGTAATTTCAGCATCGTGGTGAACGACCTGGATGCCTTGCCCCTGGTGAACCACAGCTCTGGGACACTTGTGAAGTGCGGCCACAGGGAATTGCATGGGGATTTTGTGGCTCCGGAGCAGCTGTGGCCCTTTGGGGAGGGTGTGCCTTTTGATGACGATCTCATGCCCTCATACGACGAGAAGGTCGACATCTGGAAGATCCCAGACGTCTCCAGTTTCCTTCTGGGACATGTCGAAGGAAGCGACATGGTTCGATTCCATTTGTTTAATATTCACAAGGCATGTAAGAGCCAGACTGCTGCAGAGAGGCCCAGTGCTGAGGACGTTCTGGACACTTACCAGAAGGTTTTTAATTCACTCAGAGATACCGTGATGTCTCAGACAAGGGAAATGCTTTAAAAACTGGTCCAATCTTTAAAGGATGGGATTGAAGGATCAAATGGAAGTCACAGCAGTTCTACTCTGATGGGGGACTTTTTGCCTGTTTTTTTGCTGAGTGAGCCATGTGGTTCTTTTTCTGCAGCCACATATATGTTTGAGTATGTTCTTCTTTTGGCCACCTGGATGGAAGTTGCTGAGCAAGAGCCCCCAGGCCTGATTGAAATCTGGCTTCGCTTGTCTGATGCATCTCCATCTTCCTGGTGAAGATGTAGAGGAGCAGGTGACTCTAACCAGAATTCAAAGGAAATAACAAAAATGTGGCCATAAAGAGGCTGCTCCTGCCCTAATAACTGGATTTATACATATAAGCTTGCAAAAAACACATATAAGGAAGATATTTCAGGCCAGGCACGGTGGCTCATGCCTGTAAGCCTAGCACTTTGGGAGGCTGAGGTGGGTGGATTGCTTGAGCTCAGGAGTTTGAGATCAGCCTGAGCAAAAGCAAGACCCCATCTCTACTAAAAACAGAAAAACTGAGGCAAGAGGATCACTTGAGCCGGAGAGTTGGAGGATGCTATGAGCTATGACGCCATAGCACTCTATCCAGGGTGATAGCTTTGAGACAGCTTATCTCAAAAGAAAAAAAAAAAGGAAGGTAGTTCAATGGGAGTATATGAAAGAGACATACAGTGGCTCTTAAAGGAGCATTTTTCCTATAGTTTTTGTAATGTTTGGTTTTAATCTAATGGATGTACAACAAGTGTTGGTGAAGTTGTGCAAAAATCAGAACCCCATACGCTGCTAAGTGGGAATGAGCAATGGCACAGCCACTTTGGAAAACAGTCTGGCAGTTCTTCAAAAAGTAAACAGTAGAGTTATCATATGCCACAGCAATTCTGCGTCCAGGTATATATCCAAGAGAACAGAAAGCATGTGCACACCAGAAGAAAGTCTGTATTGCACCTGATCGTTCAGAGTGGCATTATTCATGATAGACAAAAGGTAAAAATAACCCAAATGTTCATTAGCTGATGAAAAAAATGTGGCATATCCCACAATGGAATATTATTCACCCTTAAAAACAATGAAATTCTGTCACATAACAACATGGGTGAACCTTAAAAACATGAAAGAAGCCGGACACAAAGGATTACATATGAAGCCAGGCATGACAGCTCACGCCTGTAATCCCAGCACTCTGGGAGGCTGAGGCAGGTGGATTGCCTGAGCTCACGAGTTTGAGACCAGCCTGAGCCAGAGCAAGACCTTGTCTTTAAAAACAGCCAGGTGCTATGGTGGGCACCTGCAGTCCCAGCTACTTGGGAGACTGAGGCAAGAGAATCACTTAAGCCCAAGAGTTTGAGGTTGCTGTGAGCTATGACACCAAGGCACTCTACCAGGGCGATGCAGTGAGACTATCTCAAAAAAAAAAAGAAGCTTGGAAAATACTTGTTTTGCCTCATTCTTGGCTGAAAATTTGACTGGCCATATGATTTTCAGTGTAGCAGTGGACAAGGAAGATGCTCTGCTAGGCCTTACAGCAACTTTCAGCCAGTTCTTGTGGATTTTCAGTGCATTCCTATTCTCAGCTGCTCTAATTTCAGAGCTTTTCCAGCATCCTGAGGCGCACACAGTTCTACTTGTCAGGCTGTTTCAGTTTTTTCTGCTTGGCCACTCTGTGTTCCATACTGGGAAATTTTTTTATGCCTCCTTTTTGCTGTTTGTTTGTTATTTTTTTTCTCTCTAAGGCTTAAAACTATTTATTTCTTTACCAGCATTTTAGTTTGGTTTCAGAAGGGAGAGATGTGTGTTCCAACTCTTGCGTTTAACCAGGTAAACATGGGCTCAGCACCTATAGCTCCCTAGTTAGAGCACCAGCCACATATACTGAGGCTGGCGGGTTCGAACCCGGACCTGGGCCCACCAAACAACAGTGACAACTACAACAAAAAAATAGCCGGGTATTGTGGTGGCCTCCTGTAGTTCCAGCTACTCGGGAGACTAAGGCAAGAGAATTGCTTAAGCCCAGGAGTTTGAGGTTGCTGTGAGCTTGTGACACCACAGCACTCTACTGAGGGCAACATAATGAGACTGTCTCAAAAAAAGAAAACCCAGATAAACATGATACAGCCAACAGTTTAGAAGGAACTGTGTCCCTCTAGAAATGTTAAATAATGTAGAAAAAAAAAAGGCAACTTACTTAGTTTTCAGGAACATACCATTATTTAATGTGGGCTATACATGCCCATTATGTGCTTTTTTATGATCAGTGTAGTATATTCCCCTTAAGTATTGAACTATATATTACTTAGTAGTGATGGAATGAGTTCTAACACAATTCTGTAATAACTAGTCCTTAAGGTGAAAGTTAATATTGAAGTACAGTTGGCTTCAGAAATAGCTGTCGCTGCAATTGAAAACCACAGTGATGTATTACTGCAGCCTTCTATGATCCAAGGAGTCTGGAAATTCTATGCAAACCTGTTCTGAAGTAAATGCTTCCACCTGAAGTAGTGGTACCGTACTACATTGATGCAAAGAATTGTGGGTACCTAGCACACTCTGCCACATTTCCTAAAGCAAGGCTTGAACTCACCAAGAAGTAGGGTCATATTTCCCTGACATCACTAAAGACTGTCCCTTCAAGATGCTCACTGTTGGAAAGGATCGAAGGCAGATTTTCTTTGATCTTGCTCCAGGATGGGTGGTGAACATGGCAGATAAGAAAATCCTACAACCCACAGATGAGACTCTCTGCAAGGATTATAGCTCATGAGTCCCCTCCTTAGAAAGCAAAGGTGTTAAAGAATGCTAGAAAGGGTGGCGCCTGTGGCTCAGAGGAGTAGGGTGCTGGCCCTATATACCAGAGGTGGCGGGTTCAAACCTGGCCCTGGCCAAAAACTGCAAAAAAAAAAAAAAAAGAATGCTAGAAAAGAGACCAAAAGACATGTATTTCTTGTTGCATTTTCCTAATGTGTAATCTCCAGATATTGATGTTAATTTTTAGTGTAATCTATTTCTTTTTTTTTAAAAACAGAGTCTCCCTTTGTCACCCTTGATAGGGTGCTGTGGCATCACAGCTCACAGCAACCTCCAGCTCTTGGGCTTAGGCAATTCTCTTGCCTCAGCCTCCCGAGTAGCTGGGACTACAGGCGCCTGCCACAACTCCTGGCTATTTTTTTGTTGCAGTTTGGCCGGGGTCGGGTTCAAACCCACCACCCTTGGTATATGGGGCCGGCGCCCTCCTCACTGAGCCACAGACACCACCCAATCCTATTTATTTTTCCTTTAAAATTAAAATTTCAGGAAGCAAGCACTGCCTAGGGGATCTGAGTCTGGGTTCCGTCTCAAAGATACAAACTCCTCTCGTGGTCTCTTGAAGGAAAATTATAATTACTTTACAAAATGTTCTAGTCTATTTTTTCATGATATTTTCCCCTGGGCCTTGTTTTGTTACTGCTACCAATCAGAATGAATGCACACATGGTACGGGATTAGTTTATAGGCCGGCTTTGCCAAGATCAGAGAAGATGCTGATGAGTTGTGGCCCCTTTTAATCAGTATCCTCAGGGAAGCTCTGCTACCCTGTGTCAAGATGGTAAGCCCGCAGCTCCTGAAGAATAAGATCAAGAATATGCGTTTAAAGCTTAAGGCCGTGAATAGCTTCTTAGTAGTATATTTTCTAGCAATATTAAAGGTGAGAGAATAATTTTAAGTGGCCAATGCCTATAACCCTAGCACTTTAGGAGGCTGAGGCAGGAGAATGGCTTGAGCCCAGGAGTTTGAGGTTGCTATGAGCTAGGCTGACACCATGGCACTCTATTCAGGAAAACAGAGGGAGGACTCTATCTCAAAAAAAAAAAAAAAAAAAAAAAAAAGAAAGAAAAAAAATTACAAGTGAGTTCATTTTCTCAACTCTGTGATAAATGTAGACAGTAATGATCAAGCCATTCATATTTTTCTTGAAGTGTAAATGTTCCTTTCTTTTTTTAAAAAAGACAGAGTCAGTTTGTCACCCCTGGTAGATTGCATGGCCTCACAGCTCACAGTAACCTCAAACTCTTGGGCATAAGCGATCCTTGCCTCAGCCTGGGAAGTAGGTGGGACTATAGGCACTCGCCCCAACCCCAGCTGCATTTAGGGACAGAGTCTTGCTCCTCAGGCTGGTCTCAAACTCCTGAGCTCAAGCAATCCACCTGCCTCTGCCTCCCAGAGTTCTAGGATTACAGGTGTGAGCCACCTCCCCCGGCCCAAATGGAAATGTTCTAATTCTAATTTATATAGTTTTTCTTAGACATTGGAGACGTTTGTCTTAGTCATTTCAAATGATTTTGAAAAAAATTGTTCAATGATTAAGCAATAAAAACAATTGGTAATATGAAAATTAAACCCAGTTCAGTTAGTGAGGTTATTTAACTTTTGAAAAGAAATTTTATATCCAGATCATATGAAAGCTTAATTTACCTTGAGTGGTTAAAGGTTGATCATGATAATTCTTCCACAGTAGAAATAAAATGATTCCTGGCTATTTGTTTTTTTAAAATAAAAAAAATACCTATAGAAACGAAACCAAAAAAATCCAGCTTCCTATTACTCTTAGGAAGAAACCTGTACTCAGCTAGACCTTCTAGGTTCTGTCCTTTCCCGTCACAAAACCCTGCTCCTTCCTTCACTAAGCGGGTTCTCTGGGTTGTTGCCAAGGCTGTTTCTTTTGCGGGGAGCACTCTTTCCCCCTCTTCGCCTGGCTGACATCCCTTGGGACTCAAGTTGACTCACAAGCTCCTGCAGGCCCTTCTGGGAAGTACCGAACAGCTGGGGTGCTTCTGTCAATCACTGCTCTCGCCAAACGACAATAATCACACCATTCTGTAAGGGGAGGGGATTGGCAAACTCACCTAAGGTGCATAATGTGAGGGTGGGCTCAACTACAACTTGAACTTTACCCAGTAAACGCAAACAATGTAACCTAATCACTCGTAGCCTCATTATTCTGAAATTAAAAAATCAAATAATTCAAACGCTCAAGTATAAAAATACTACAGGGTGCACTCATACGCCTATTTTGCACTCAGCTTCCCCAGCAAGAAAACGCTGCCAGTGACACCACCTCAGGACTGGCTCTCAACGTTCCACTGCTTCACCCCTCAGCCGTCCTTGAACTTCGTGTTTATCTTTCCCTGTGTCTTTACACTTTTTCCATATGTACATATTCCTAGACGTGGTGGTGTTTTGCTTGGCTATACACGGTATGTAAATTATTATAAAGGTATTCTGTAACTTGAAACTCATCCAAGGGGATACGTGAGGCCTTAGAAGAGCATTTCCGCCGCTGTGTCGCGTATCACAACTTGCCTATTTTCCCACGGATGGACGTTCAGACTGTTTACAATGTTCGCGACTATAAACTCTGCAGCAAGTATACAACGCGCCTAGTGCACTTGGATGTGTGTGAGCGTCTCCGGACGTATGCCAGGCCTGGATCTGCTGAGCCCTCGGTGCCTGCGCGCCCTGAGCTTCTTCGGACGTTCTCAAGGGGCTCTTCCGAGTGGTGGTACCACGCGGTGGCTGTTCAGGCGTCTCCCTCTGGGCGCCGGGGCTTTTGCTTACCGTGGCATTGCCCAGAGGTAAGGGCGCCAACACCCGTATGGATGACGAATAACTGGGATTTGGCAAAATGTCGCTCCGGGAGGTGTGGAGGGCCTGGGGAGCAAAGCCTGCAGGCCTGCGGGATGCCTGTCTTCCGGAGGCTTCTCTTCCCGAGGACAGACAGACTACACCGGACACCGAATCTCGGCTGTTCTTTTGGCAAGTTCCCCAGGGCAGGGCCTAGATCAGCCCCGCCCCTAGCCCCGCCCCCCGACCTCACGAGCCCCGCCCCTGGCGCTGACTGCGCGGCCGTGACGGCAGCCGGGGGGCCATGACGAGCGCGCGGTCGTCCGCCGCTAGGAAGCGCGGGGCGGAGCGCGGCGGCGAGGGAACAGCGGCCCAGGGTTCGCCCGGGCGGGAGCGGCGCCCAGGGGCAGCGGTGAGGGCCGACATGCACCGGGCAGGCGGCGGCGGCTGGGCGCTGGCCGTGCTGCTGCTGGCGGCTTCGGTGCTGGGCGCCACGTTGCTGGTCCCCGGCGGCTCCCTGGAACGCGGCGCCGAGGCCGCGCCCCCGCGAGGTGAGTGCGCGCCGCCCTGCGCCTGCCCCGCCCGCGCCCGGCCCGCGGGGCACGGCGAGCTCGGGGCGAGGCGGGGGCGTGCGCGGAGTGTCCCGGAGCCAGTTTCTGTCTCTGCTGCGCTGTCGGGGGCCCCGCGGCCGGTGGCTTCGCGGAGCTGGACGGTGCGGAGAGGAGCCGGGCCTCAGCGTCCGACCGCACCTACCGCGACGCCAGCCAGCGAGAGGCGCGTGGCGAGTGCTCGGCTGGCCGGGGGCCTGGTCTGGGTGGCCTAGCGCCCCCGCCCGAGACGGCGGGACGGCCGTGGGCGTCTTCTGGTGACGTTTGTGTAAATAGCAGAAGTCCTTTGATCCGCAAACCTGGTACTCCACGGACATGCAGCTGAGAACAGGATTGTTGATATCCGTCCCCTTCCAGCGCACTGTGGGGGGGCCTGTTACGAAAATGAGGTCCTTTGCCCGAAGGTCCTTCCCACGGAAGACGAGGCAGCTGTAGTGATACCCAGATGTCGAGAGTCCCGGAGGATGCGGGAACGCCGCCCGGCAGGGTCGCTGGAGTCCCGGGGAACCCCAAGTCAGAGATGGGCGTTTTCCCTCCTGCGCCTGGATTATACTCCTGGGTAAACGACCGACGTGAAAACCCAGTGGAAGGCTGCGGAAGACGGGCGTTGGACTGAAGTTCAGTCTCCAGTGAACCTTCCCCCGAACCTAATTTTACTTTCACGGTGTGGGAGGGGCCCCGGAGGCCTGTGTGAGCTGGAGCCCAGCACAGTCACGGCCACAGAGCTGTGGGGCGTTTTTGCCCCAGCGTGATTGTCCCCGCGGTTGGCTGGAGAGGCGTGCGGCTCGACTAATGATTACCTTGCTGGCTTGGTCTCCGAACTCACCAGGGGAAATGGTGAAAAATGCAAATTCCAGGGCCTCCCTCCAGACCCTTGGAAGGAGGATCCCCAGGGCCCTCGGAGATCATTTTCACAAGGCCCGTCCCGAAATGTGGTTTGGTCTGGTTCTGTGGGATCGGTCAAGTGCACAAACCCCTTTGGGTCAGCGTTTGGGGAGAATCTATCACGCGGGAATGTGAGAGTCACCTGCCTCTCTTCCTCTCTCTCCCATCCCATCAACTGCGTCAGGATGCAGAGATTGGTGTCTGTGTGTTAAGTTCATACTGTCCCACTTCCCCAAACACAATTTTGTAGGAGGAAGACACTGAATTTTGGGAAAACATCTCAGCTGATTACATTTTTGGGGCGTCACGTTGCTGGTGGGGCTCCGAACCTCAATCTCCCTACACCCCCCCCCCTTTTATAGTTAAACCAACCCCCAAAGGTCAGGTGATCTGCCCAGTCACAGTTTGTCAGGAATAGAGTCCCCCAGCTCTTTGTCTTTGCATTTTAGCACCAGATATTAATGATACTTACCTTAGCAAAGAAGTGGTTTGTAAATAATAAGGGAGAATTTACTAGCATTCTTAATCGGTCCACCCCCAGAACCTTCAGGAAGCTGAGTTAAGGGGACAGCCAGGCTTTCCCTGCCACCTGGAGCCGATGTGGAGCCAGACAGATTCCTCCTAAAAACTTCATCTTCATGTGATTTGAGGGCTCAACATTTACTTAAAAAGAATTTAGGTAGAATGGGCCTTAAAAAGAATTTAGGTAGAATGGGCCTTTAAAAATATGCCCAGCAAAGATAAGTCAGACCAGAGCTAGATCCAGAAATTAAATATTGGAAAGGAAATAAAGGAATAACAAATGCGGGCAGCTCTTCATCCCTGCGCTAGTGAAAGGTGACTGCATTTGGGTTAGTTGCTTACCAGACAGTGTAGACAGGAGGAGGAAGAAGGGACTGGTGTTTCTGTCTGCAGTGCTACCTGGTGTCACCCTGGGAGCTCACAGGTCAGCAGCGCGGGAAGTTGACAGCTTTTTCTTGAAGCCAAATACCACACTCAAATTTGGGGTCATCTTTGAGCCAGTAATTACAGCCTCATTTTTAAAAACGTATAGTCAAATAATGCAAAAAACTACAAAGAAAAGTGTGGAAATCTGCTTATACTTTAATTCTCTATCTGCGATCTGCACCCTTGCTGCATGTTAGAATCCCTTTGGAGGTTTTTTGTTGTTGGGAGAAATTTTAAAAATAATGCCTCTACATAGCGGCAGCTGTTAAAAAGGCTATTTTTGATTAAACATTTTACTCCTGGCAGTTTATTCTTAAAGAATTATGTCAAAAAAAAAAGAATTATATCAAAAGAACATAATTTTCACATAGATATAGCATAGCGCCATTTCTTATGATAAAAAGAAATGGAACATAAGGAGAAATTAGAAATATGGTTAAATGAAAAAAGAAAACAACTTTTAAAAATACTCAGGTAGGGTGGGGGGAGTGCCTCACATCTGTAATCCTAGTACTCTGGGAGGCAAAGGTGGGTGGATCCTTTGAGCTCAGGAGATCATGACCAGCTTGAGCAAGCTGGAGACTGTATCTCTACTAAAAATAGCAAAAACTAGCTAGGCGTTGTGGCCGAAACCTGTAGTCCCAGCTACTCAGGAGGCTGAGGGAGGAGGATCACATGAACCCAAGAGTTTGAGGTTTCTGTGAGCTAGGCTGATGCCCCAGCACTCTAGCCTGGGCCACCATGCCTGGTCAGAAACCACTACCGTTACACTGGATCTACTAAATTCAGTGCATCCCGCATCTTAGTCCTTGATGAATATGAGTTCCTTCCGCAGTCCTTTTTATACACTGGATGTGAATGGTGTTGGCTGATGCTTGTTTGTAATAGAGGCATCTGTGCAAAAGGGGACCTGTCTGTGCATGTGTATCCGTGCAGACATGCACCAAGTAATACACGGGAGACCCTAGGAACCCGAGAGCAGGTGTTTGAAAGCACTTCTGTGAGGCCCCTGCCGGCACAGTGCACTTGGTCTGTAACACATCTTCCGGGTGCCTTGCTTTACTGTGTGTGCTTTTTTTTTTTTTTAAAGTTTTCTTCCTAATCTTTACCAGATTTAGACAAAAAAAGGCCCGTGGAGCTGAAGATGGATCATGCTTTGCTTCTCGTCCATAACGAACTTGAGAGACACCTGACTGTCTACTGGAAATCGGAATGCTGTTACCAGGTGTGTTCAGACTCACAATTTTGTTTACTTTGGGGCCTGTTGGATGTGAGCCTTAGTGCTGTTAAGAGTTGCTTTAGGTCAGGCTCAGTGTCTCATGCCTGTAATCCTAATGCTGTAGAAGGCAGAGGCAGGTGGATTGCTTGAACTCAGGAGTTTAAGACCAACCTGAGCACGAGTGAGACTCCATCTCTACTAAAAATAGGGGGGAAAGCTGGGTTTTGTGGTGGGTGCTTGTAGTTCCAGCTACTTGGGAGGCTGAGGCAGATGGATCACCTGAGCCCAAGAGATTGAGGTTGCTATGAGCTAGGCTGACATGAAGACACTCTGCCCAGGGTGACAGAGACTGTGTCTCAGAAAAAAAGAAAAGTTGGGGTGGTACCTGTGGCTCAAGGAGTAGGGCACCGGACCCATATGCCAGAGGTAGCAGGTTCAAACCCAGCCCCAGCTAAAATCTGTAACGACAAAAAAAATAAATAAATAAACACATTCATTTAAAAAAAAAAAAAAAGAAAAGTTGTTTATATATTTAGGTGCTCCAGTGTTGGTTGTGTATAAATTTGTTATTGTTAGTTTTCATGGAATATTGACCCCATTATCGTTACATAATGGCCTTTGTCTCTTGTTATAGTTTTGGCTTATTTTATCTGGTATTAGTAGTTCTACTCCTTTCCATTTGCATGGATTATCTTCTTCCATCCCTCGCTTTCAATCTCTGTGTGTCCTTGTAGGTGAAGTGAGTCTCTGCTGGTGAAGACAGCAAATAGTTGGGTCTTATTTTTTAATCCATTCAGCCACTCTCTCTGTTAGCAAAGTACCTTTTTTTTTTTTTTTTTTTGAGACAGAGTCTCACTTTGTCACCCTCAGTAGAGTGTGGTGGCATCATAGCTGACAGCAATCTCAAACTCTTGGGCTCAAGCGATTCCCTTGCCTCAGCCTCCCAAGTAGCTGAGACTCTAGGCACCTGCCACAACACCCCGCTACGGGGTCTCACTCTTGCTCAGGCTGGTCTTGAACCTGTGAGCTCAGGGCAATCCACCTGCCTCAGCCTCCCAGAGTGGTATGATTACAGGCGTGAGCCACCGCACCCGGCAGCAGAGTGTTTTTTGAATTAATGAAGCAACAGAAGAAATAAGCCAGATTAGTATGACTGTATACAAAGATAAAAACTTGTAATTAACAACAAAATGGAACAAGATGAAAAGGAATCACTGCAACTTAATTAAAAGTTTAATATTACAGTATATGAGGACATATTTCTAAGATTGTTCTCAGGGAACTTGGTATCTAACGGTTCACCCTATAGGAATAAAATATCAAAATTATGGAATTTTTAATCTATTGATTTAAAATGTAATCTTAATGCTGTGATATAATTATCTAGTAGACAAATGATTTAAAAATCTTGGTAAGACTAATGAGAAAAAAATATATATATATATAACTTTCGAGACAGAGTCTCTGTCACACTGGCTAGAGTGTGGTCTTAGCCTGCTTCACAATAACCTCAAACTCTGGGCTCAAGCAGTCTTCCTGCCTAAGCCTTCCGAGTAGCTGGGAGGGAATACAGGCACCTACCACAATTCGTGGCTAGGTTTTCTGTTTTTAGCAGAGATGGGGTCTTGCTCTTGCTTAGGCTAGTCTCGAACTCCTAAGCTCAAGTGGTTCACTTGCCTCAGCCTCCCATAGTGCTAGGATTACAGGTGTGAGCCACTGCACCCAGTCAATGTGTAAAGCTTTTAACACAATATAATTTTTATCACAAAACAATAAAAAGATAAAACACAAAATCTTTGAAATCACCCTCGATACTCCCAGCGATAGTATCAAATGAAGTATAATGTAACTACCAAATAATAGAAATGTGCTAATTAGGTAGAGTCATGGAAACTCATTTGTTAATCGTACGTGATATTTAGATTTAATATATGATCTATTTATTTGTTAAAAGTTTACCTATGAAGATTTACAGTTCCATAGAGAAAGTCATTTTTTGATATAAAAATAGATGAATTTTGTCTCAATTACTGAAATTCATATTTTTAGTAAGGATCAAGGAAAAGTCATGTTCAAATCTTCAGTTAGATATTTATGTCCTCCCACAAGTGAAGGTACAGCCTCTAACTGCTTATTTGTTGTGCTTTTATTTAAAGTGCTTGTTCCAGGTTCTGGTAAATGTCTCTCAGAGTGGAAAATCTGGGAAGCCCAGCACTGCAGCTGTGTCTGTCAGCACCCAGCACGGATCCATCCTGCAGGTGAATGACACCCGGGAAAAGAAGGAAGTCTGCAGGTGTGTGACGGTTGTGATTGATCTCTACTTTTTTTCCCTTTTGGTTTTTAGCTTTAAAACATTTTTCTTTATCTTTTCTGGACTGTCCAGGAACACCTTTCATTCTGCCTTTATGACATTAGCAAAATCTGATTCTTGATTTTGTAATCTAACTGTTGGTCTAATTCATCTCATCTTTGTAGGCTAGAATACAAATTCGGCGAGTATGGAAACTATTCTCTCTTGGTAAAGCACACGCCCAGTGGAGTCAATGAAAGCGCTTGTGACCTCGTTGTCAATGAGGATCCAGTCGATAGTAATCTTCGTACGTATGTGCTCCTTGTTGTGTTTTTATGTTTGTATTTTTAAAGGCTTCAGTTTGGGGATACTCTTTGTAAAGTGAAGCAATCCATGGCATAAAAACCTAGATCATAGGCTGTGGATTCCATTTAGTTACAGTATATCTGTAATATATTTATTGTGTCATTTGTGTGTGTATACCGAGACTCAATTCATATGATATATTAAAAGTTAAAGGTTATATGTGGGGCTGGGCATACTTTCTCACACCTGTAATCCCAGCACTCTGGGAGGCTGAGGTGGGTGGATCGCTTCAGCTGGGGAGTTTGAGACCAGCAAGAGTGAGACCCTATCTCTAAAAACAGTCAGGTGTTGTGGCAGGCACCTGTAGGTCCAGCTGCTTGGGAGGCTGAGGCAAGAGGATCACTTGAGCGTAAGAGTTTAATGACATCAGTGACACTCTACTGAGGGCAGCAGAGTGAGACTCTGTCTCAAAAAAAAATTATAGGCTATACCAACAAATCCACACAGTTGTTATTTAGTTTAGTTATGAAGCATTAGTAAACCAAAAACATCAATACATTGGGAAGAGAAAGTAGAAAGAGGACAGTTGACCATCAAATAGCTTTCATTGTTTGAGGATTTAGGGTATAGGGTTTCCTGTATGTCTTATGCTGACACCTAAAGTTTTCCTTAGGTTAAGGAGGGGTCATTCATTCTTCACTAACTCCATTGAAGAAAATTTTTCATTCTGAGCTCCCCACTAGATGATGTCTGTGAAAGGCAGTAAGGGGCCTGTGGCATTAATAGGAGCTGGTCACAGGCAAGACTGTGTGTGAGGTGATGTCAAAAGAACATAGGCGCCAATATGAAAGGGCTACATGGACAATTTAGGTGTTAAAAAAAGTAGGTTATCAGTGAAAAATAATGAATATGTAGAAACCATGATGGTAAAAACCATGATGTCCTTATGAAACTGAAAAGATGAAGACCCTTATCCTCAAACAGAAACAAACAAAAGCACTACTTTGGTTGTCCTGGCTTTCTGTTTTAACTGTGAGTCGGGGTAACCAAGCAGTTCTGTTTAATGAGGGTAAATTCTACAGAGAAGAATTCTAGGTAACAATGGGCAGAATGGCAGGATATTTTGTAACCCTAATGAATTTTTTTTTTTTTTTGAGATTTTGTAATTTGCCTACCATACAGATTGAATTCTGAATTTTTTTCCAGGCTACAAGTTTCCAAACTATAATGTTTCCAAATTGTTCTTCCATTTTTCTGACTTGAATTCAGTAAAATTGCTACTTTCTTTTTCCTGAGGCTCTGCTGACATACCTTATTACATACAAATCACAGATGAGAAAAATCTGTCAAGCCTCTGTGTACTTCCAACTTCCACTTTACCTGAAGAAGTTTCAAGTCTGATTACCATCCAGACTCTAAGGAAACTGGCTTATCGATTATTCCAGACGTTAATCTTTGCTTTTCAGTGTCATGTCCTAAGATGAGACACAGCTATTCAGTGACACTGGCACATTCCCAGAAATGAGAGACGGCTTTAATAGGATCCTTTACCGCTCAGCTATTAGCTCAGTTTTTTGCTCCACAGCCACTAACTCAGCTTTCAGGGTGTGGAACTTCTAGGGATAGTTCAGACAGGAATGTGGGAGCTTAGAAACTGATACCCCAGAATAATGACACTTTGACAAACGGAACTGAACCAGCCTCAAGATCTCTCTAAGCTTCTTCCCTATCTCCCTAATGAAATAATTAATTCAGGCAACATGTAAGTGGAGGAAAGCATCAGTGAAAGAAGAACTTGATTTACACTAGCAGGGTCAGGCTTTCATCAGCTAAACACATCCGTCAGTCGCAGATGGTGCCTCCTCACTGTTAGCCAGGAAATTATTGTTAATTGTGTGTGACAGCGTGGTTATGTAGCAAAATGTCAATTTTTAAGAAGCTTAATTTTGAAATAGACTTATAGAAACATTATAAAAAAAAAAAGAGTTCCCCAAAACTCTTCACCTAGCTTCCCCTAAACCAGTGGTTCTCAATCTGTGGGTCGCAACCCCTTTGTAACAATGAAAATATATCCTGGATACCAGAAATTTACATTACAATTCATAACAGAGGCAAAATTACAGTTATGAAGTAGCAACGAGAATAATTTTATGGTTGGGAGTGACCACAACATGAGGAACTGTATTAAAGGGTCACAGCATTAGGAAGGTTGAGAACCACTGACCTAAACCCTTAAACCGTGTAATCATAAAATTATCTCATGTACAATTATTAAAACCAGGAACTTAACATTGAAACAGTATTTATCTACAGACTTACTTACATTCCTCCGCTGCCCCCTTTAGTATCCTTTCCCTGGTCCAGGATCCAGTCTGGGATCCCACGGTTGCCTGGACCTTCTTGGCCTTTCATGACTATGACAGTTTTGAAGAATATTGACTAGTCAGTTTGAATTGGCTTGATGTCTCACGACTAGGTAGAGCTTTTGCATTTTTTGGCAGGATGCAGCAGTGATGCTGTGTCCTTCTCAAGTGTGTCATGTCCACAGGTGCGTGATGTTGAAATGTCTCTCGGGCTGTGAGCTTTACAGACAAATGAGGAAATATGTGGGGTGAACGGACGTGATTTTGGATGTGTTTTAAAACACTGTAGCTGAGGCTCAGCGCCTGTGGCTCAAGCGGCTAAGGCACCAGCCACATACACCTGAGCTGGCAGGTTTGAATCCAGCCTGGACCCACCAAACAACAATGACGGCTGCAACCAAAAAAAGTAGCCAGGCGTTGTGGGGGGCGCCTGTGGTCCCAGCTACTTGGGAGGCAGAGGCAGGAGACTTGCTTGAGCCCAGGAGTTGGAGGTTGCTGTGAACTGTGATGCCACAGCACTCTACCCAGGGGGACAGCTTGAGGCTCTGTCTCAAAAAAAAAAACACTGTAGCTGAAAACAGGAAGCAGGGACAGTTACAGGTGAAGCAAGAGTGACAAGACCTTGATTCTGAGATAGGGATGAGGGGTGTATGTGGTTTTATTATACGGGTCTCTGCACTTTTGTGGGTGTTTGATATTTTATATAATGAAAATCAGTGCCCCCCCCATGATGAGCGATGGTCTCAGTTTTTTTTTCATGAATAGATTAAATGTAATGACACAATAGCTTTGGTGTGTATGATGACATTTTTGGTGATAATGATTTCTCTTTTTTTTATAGCTGTGAGCATTGCATTCCTCACTGGTCTCGCCATTGTCATTGCGGTGTCCTTTCTGAGGCTCTTGTTTAGGTAAGATGTTTGGGAAAATGTAGGAGGAAGGGAAGAATATAGAAATTATATGTTCAGGAAGGGTAGTTGTGAGCCCCCAAATGGCCATTATTCTTTGATTAAATGAACATTTATTTGTCTACCATGCCCAGTCCTGTCCTAGGCATCAGGAATTCAATATAGATGAAGATAACAGTCTCAGATGTCAGGGAAATAACCAGTAAGGAATGTTGTAATGGGCCGGGTGCAGGGGCTCACGCCTGTGATCCCAGCACTCTGGAAGGTCAAGGCAGGTGCATCACTTGAGCTCAGGAGTTGGAAACCAGCCTGAGCAACGTTGAGACCCCGTCTCCACTAAAATAGCAAAGTTAGCCAGGTGTGTGTCAGGCACCTTTAGTCCCAGTTACTTGGGAGGCTGAGGCAGGAGGATCACTGAGCCCCGAAGTTTGAAGTTGCTGTGAGCTACAGTGATGCCCTGGCACTCAACCCCAGGGTGAGAAAATAAGACCCTATTTTTTAAAAAAAGTTAAAAAATAAGAAAAAAGGAAGGTTGTAATGGACTTTTGCTTTCCATCCTTCCACATGGTGAAAAATGAAGAACGTGTTTGAAAGGTAATTATTTCCTAAAGAATCAGGGAGTAGAACTGGCTTCTGTTAGCATCAGGAGGGGGCTGCCACGCTGGGCTCTCCTCCTCCTCTGTGGTCCTGAGCCCTGGGGTACTCACTAGTCCAGCTTTCACCTCCCTGCCAGCTCAGCAGTCTGCCGGCAGAGCGTATGACTGGGCTTCCTGCCTCTTCCGTTGGTTAGAGCTAATAGCCAGCATGGAGGAGGGGATTCGTGCTGCTCTCCTTGTCAGCAGTGATTCTGCTAAGTGTGACTTGGTAGACTACAAAAGAAAACAAGAAGATCCAGGCCTGCTTTAGTCAGTTTTCAAAGGAAGGTTTTTTTCATGTTCTAAGAGGAATAAGATGGCTTGAATTTTCACACGCTCATCCTCCTGTTAGGGTCTCCAGAAGGACCACAAGATTTTATTGGCAAGCTGTGTGCAGATTGGAAGAATGGAAACCTGATCTTCATTTCATTTATTCATTTATTTTTTTGAGACTCTGTCTCACTTTGTCCCATTCTCTAGAGTGCTATGGCATCATAGCTGACAGCAACCTCAAACTCTTAGGCCTAAGTGATCCTCTTGTCTCAGCCTCCTGAGTAGTTGGGACTACAGGTGCTGACCACAAAGCCTGGGTATTTTTTTTATAGATGGGTTCTTGCTTTTGCTTAGGCTGGTCTTGAACTCCTGAGCTCAACTGATCCACCTGCCTCAGCCTCCCAGAGTGCTGGGATTACAGGTGTGAACCACTGCACCTGGCCTTGGAACCTAATCTTTAAATCACCTAGTTTGAGAGAGTCGTGAAATTTTGGGGGAATTTATGCACTCTGACCCTCCTACCTTGAGCATCTTAAAAATGACTTAATTCCCTCTCTGAGGAACCTGACTCTGTATAACTATAAAAGAACTCCAGCTTAGGATTCTAACAGAAGAGTTTCATCTTTGCATTGTGATATTATCTTGTCAGTTTTTTGGTGAGTTGCAAATACTATTGCAATATAGGAGGGTATATCCATTTGGTGCTTTTCACATGAATGGATCTGTCACATCATTTTGAAAAGTAATTGATAGCTAATTACATAGTAATTGATAGCTAATTAACATCATGTAGGAGGAATGTTACCATTGTAACTTTGATACAATAGTAACTTTGATGTTACTATTGTAATTGCTTTGTGCTGCCATGAACTGCACCCAAAGCCCTTGCAGAGAGAAGGAATTCCTGCTGTGGAAGTGAAACTCCTCTTTGCACATGATTCTGCTTTCCCACCCCAGGGCGGGAGGCTGGAGCTGGCAGAGCCAGTCCCTTATTCCTGCCCCCTCACTTCCCTGTGGACTCACGAAAGTCCAGGGAAGTTCAGATTAGTCTGAACCAGAAAAGAACCAAAAAAAGTGGAAAGGATAAAGAATCTTTGTTTTGCAAAGTATGTTCCCCAAGCACAAAATTAGGAGAATACAGGGGAAATTAGATATTTTTTGTTTTGTTTTATTTTTTTAATATCTTAACTTCTCCTTTTCACCCTTCCTTCCATGTGTCTATTTTAATATTTTTCATGTGATGATGACATTGTCAATGCTGAATAAACTAGAAATGGGAGCTGAATTGTGAGGGGAAGAAAAATGACATGCACATGTCGGCTGTGTGGGTTGTGTTCAGATACTGAACTGAACAACTGTAAAAAGTTTTTTGAGACAGGGACATTGAACTGGCTGTGTGAGGATGTTGAGGTATTGTTGCTAGTGTTTTTAATTTTGATGATGGTATTATGATTATATTTAGAAATAACAATAGTTCTTATCTTTTAGAGATACATATTGAGGTACTTAAGGATGAAATGATGCCTGGGAAATTCTGTAAAATGGTCAGTTTGAGGCAAGAGTTAAGGGCATTGGAGGAGGACAGATGAAGTAAGATTGGCCGTGTGCAGACACATCTCTTTATCGCACCTCACAAATACTGTGTTTTTAGCAAACTAAGTGTTTGTGGCAGCCCCTCGTTGAGCACCTCCACCAGTGTCATCTTCACAACAGCAGGAGCTGTTCACTTGATGTCTGTGTCACGTTTTGGTAACCCTTGGAATATTTCAGACTTTTTCCTTATTATATGTATCATCCCTGTTACAGTGATCTGTAATCAATGATCTTTGATGTTACTATTGTAATTGCTTTGTGCTGCCGTGAACTGCACCCATAAATGATAGAATGTAATCAAAAAATGGTCTGTATGTTTTGACTACTCTGTTGACTGGCTGTTCCTGTTTCCCTCTCTTTGGGCCTCCCTATTTTCTGAGACCCAAGGATATTGAAATGAGGCCAGTTAATAACCCTACAATGGCCTCTAAGTGTTCAAATGAAAGGAATAGATACATGTCTCTCATTTAAAGTCAAAAGCTAGAAATAATAAGCTTAGTCAGGAAGGTATGTTGAAAATTGAAAGCTGGGATAGGTGGAAAGCCAGGGTGGGCCTCTTGGACCAAGCAGCCAAGTTGTGAATGCAATGGAAAAAGGCTTGAAGGAAATTAGAAGTGTTACTGCAGTGAACATATGAATGATAAGAAAGCAAAGCTACCTTACTGCTGATAAAGGAGGTTTGAGTAGTCTGGATGGAAGATCAAAGTGGCCAAGGCGGGGCTTGGTGGCTCACGCCTGTAATCCTAGCACTCTGGGAGGCTGAGGCAGGTGGATCTCCTGAGCCCAGAGTTCAAGACCAGCCTGAGCAAGAGCGAGACCCCATCTCTACTAAAAAGAGAAACTACCTGGGCATTGTGGTGGGTGCAGGGAGCTGAGGCTGAGGTTGAGGTAAATGCTTGAGCCCAAGAGGTTGCTTTGGGGTATGATGCCAGGGCACTCTGCCCAGACTGACCAAGACTGTCTTAAAAAAAAAAGAGCAAGATCAAACCAGCCTCAACAATCCTTAATGCCAAAGACTAACCCAGAGCAAGTTGGAGGCAGTGCTCACTTACCATAAAAACCCCAGGGCCTTTAAGAACTCTGCTAAGTCTGTGGTGCCTGTGCCCAGTTCAGGGCATAGTAGAGGCTGGAGGACAGCCCATCTGCTCACAGCCTGGTTTACTGACAATTGTCAGCCCACTCCTGCTCAGAGAAAGTTTCTTTTCAAAATGTAACAATGCACGTGGTGCGTTGGAAACCAAAAATTTGGTGTGACTCCCTTTAAGGTGCTATTTTTGTTTTATTGGAGTGGTCTGAAGCTGAACTCGTAATATCCTGAGATGTGCCTATACTATTTTTTCTTTTGTACATGCTTGAAACTCTTCATGACCAAAAAAAAAAAAGAAAGAAAGAAATAAAAAAATCAGTCCGTCACTATTGAATCACTCCAAAGTTGTCTTCTTCAGACTTTGTCAGTGTGTATACATAACTTTTTATTTCCTTGTAATTGTAGATGTTGGGTTTTTGCTTCTTGTGTTATATCTTAATAGAGCAGCTTTGTGTTTCTTTTTGTGGACAAAGCCTGCATTCTTGTTGTTTTCATAGCTCTGTCTTATCCTGTCACATAGATGTTGTATCTTGTCTTCAATCATTCCCGAACTGAGTGAATTTGGTTGTTTTCACCTCTTTCCTGTTTTTATTTTAATAGCATTATTAGTAAGAATCTTAGCTGTAGAGGATAATGATCTAGTTTGACCTTCACATGCTTTAATGAAAGCTCTGTCCTCATTCTCATTTTTCTGATGAGGAGACCGTGGTGTAGGGTCAAACATTTATAAATACAGCTGCTTAAATCTTTGATTTCTATTTTTATGTTGTTATAAAACTTTTTTTTAAATTTTTATTTTCTACCTATACCTTTGATACCATCAGAAGTTAAAAAACTTTTCAGAATACTTAATTTCTTAACTAATACGGGATGTGAATCCTAAGGTAATTTTATTTTGCTGTGATAGCCTATCATTTTGAACATTCTGCCAGAGAAAATAAATTAATTGAGCCTTTTATTTATTTACAGTTTGGATGACTTTAATAATTGGATTTCTAAGACGATAAATTCTCGAGAAATGGATCGCCTCATCAACTCTGTGAGTTCTTAGAATGTGTCGTGTGTTGTCTGGATGATTTTCTAAATTTGGAAATTATAATTTCTAACTTGTCTAAGCTGGACTGGCTGTAGTTCTGGCTGCTTAGAAGGTTGGCTGATGACTTGGGTCCAGGAGTTCAGAGCCTCAGCCTGGGCAACAGAGCAAGACCCTATGTCAAAAAAAATTACTATTCTCTGATTTAACAGATTAATAAAGTACGTTATGTCCTGTATTTCTTAGTAAGGAGCTGCTGTCTCTTCAGTCCCTGTGAAGGACTCTGTCCCCTTCTCTTTTTTCAGTAAAACTCTGGGCTGTTATATGTAGGTTGCTGTGAAAGTCTTGAGACAGACTGTGTTGTGGTCCTTTATTTCACTTCATGGAAACTCGATTACAGTGGCCTGATTCACCTGTGCAGGTTTCAGCTAGCTTGGCTTACTGGTGTTGCTGGGGAGGCTTCATCTTAAAACTCTGATAATGACTCCCACACAATGTGGAGACGTTTTTCCACCCTGCAGGCAGCATTATTGAAATCAATCCAGTTAGGTAGAGAGTGTCACGATGAAAACCAAGAAATAAGAGACCCCGTTTTTTTTTTGTTTGTTTGTTTTTGTTTTTGTTTTTTTGTGGAGAGAGCCTCACTCTTACCCTAAGTAGAGTTCTGTGGCATCATAACTCACAGCAACCTCAAACTCCTGGGCTCAAGTGATCCTCTTCCTTCAGCCTCCTGAGGAGCAAGGACTACAGGTGCCTGCCACACCACCTGGCTAGTTTTTCTATTTTTAGTAGAGACAGGGTCTTCCTCTTGCTCTTGCTGGTCTCGAACTCCTGAGCTCAGGCAATCCACCCACCTCTGCCTTCCAGAGAGCTGGGATACAGGCGTAAGCCCCCGTGCCCTGCGAGGGAACTATCAGTATTCAGTCTATAAATGCCAATGACCTACTGTAATGTTACTAAATTTGTGTTATAAATTCAGCCTTGAAGACATACTTGGCTCTACACTGTGCTGAACGGACTTGTGGTCCAGGCCTGTGTGGTGTTTGGCAACATGGCCACTTGGCAAGCTCAGCAAACAGCACAGAGAGCCAGTAAAGTGGAAAGCAAACCTCTCGGCGGATCTTTACCAAGTGGAGTAAAGTTTGTTCATCTTTCTTCCTTTAAAAAGTCGAAACTCGGGTGGTACTTGTGGCTCAAAAGGGTAGGGCGCCAGCCCCATATGCCAGAGGTGGCGGGTTCAAACCCAGCCCCAGCCAAAAAAAAAAAAAAAAAAGTCAAAACTCAGATTTGCTTCTTAACATGATGAGTTGCCATATCTTTCTCTCTTTTTTCTGAAGGAGCTGGGATCTCCAAGCAGGGCAGACTCTCTCGGCAGTGACGCCCAGCCAGCCACATGGCACCTGTCCACCCACCCACCCCGCCTCCGCTGCGTGGACACATTCAGGGGGTACGTGGGCACAGGTGGTCATAGGGTTACATAATGACACTAAACACACTTTTATCTTAAGGCATTTTACATACTTTTCACTTGCTAGACTAGAAAGGGTCATTTGGATGCAAAAATAGAATCAGCAGCCTGTCTGATCTTGGAAACAGGGTGCTCAGTTCACTGTGCTGAGAGAGGAGCAGTGGGTGAGGCACAGCCGGTGTCCACTGGGATGTGCAGGCAGCTGAGTGAAGGTCATGGACGAGTGTGGACCAGTCACTATTCCTTGGGGCCTATGAGCTGTACCCCCAGGTCCAGTCAGTAGCTTGACAGCTTAGAAGATGCAGCCATCTAGAAACGCAGCGCTCGTCTGGGGACTAAAAGGGGCTTATCCTTCACCACTGGCAAAGAAACTCAGATTTCAGAGCCAGAGCTCTGGTAGAAGAACGAAGGCAGGGCAAAACTCTGAAAGGAAATTGTAGACATGATATGGCTAAAAATAAATATACAGGTATATTCATTTCTGCTGCTGAGGTTTTATGAATGCCAGTGGGAACTCTAATTCTATCCCAGTCTCACAGGGCCCCTGAGTGCTCCTAGTAGGTGTATTTGAAGCAAGATAGTAATAATATAATAATAATAATGATAACAACTGCTGATGATTTTGGAATTCTCACTGTGTGCAGGTCACTGTCCTAACTTGTCTTAATTTATTTAATTTCTTAACAGTCCTGTGTGCTATATCTGTTTAAAGTGCCTGTCTCACAGGTGAAGAAGTTGAGCTACTGGATTAAGTAATTTGTCTAAGGTCACTTGGGTACTAAGTGGGAAAGATGAGATTCAATTCTTGGCAGTTGGGTTACAGAGTCCCCACAGACTATTCCATTAACATACCAAATTCTTCAGACAGTAGCATATCCAGAACCTATTTAATTGTATTCCTCTTTCTTTCTTTCTTTCTTTTTTTTTTGAGACAGAGTCTCAAGCTGTCACCCTCAGTAGAGTGCTGTGCCATCATAGCTCACAGAAAACTTCCAACTCTTGGACTTAAACGATTCTCTTGCCTCAGCCTCCCTAATACCTGGGATTACAGGCACTAGAATTGTGTTCAAAGTTTTACGGCAAATAAGAGAAAAGGGTCCAAGATATAAATTCTTAACTCTTTGACTCAAATGACTGTGTGCCTTCTACTATAGTTGTTTAACCTCATGTTTAAAGAATCAGCACAAAATTGAGTTATTGGAAATGTTTTTCCCTGTTTTCAGGTTTTATTTAGCAGTGCAGTGTAAGACATCATGTTGGAAGTGTTGGCCCCAGGACTTCAGTGTATGGTCCTAAATATAGGGATAAGAAAAGGATAGTTTCTTGGTCTTTATATCTAGT